CCAAAAATCCACAAAGATATATATATATATATATATTCCAATTACCACCCAAGAATCCGTAATTTAACTCACGAAAAATCCATATATATATATATATGTCTATATATGTCCAAAACAAATCCGATCTACCCAAATTTCAAATAGACCTAAATATTCAATAACAATATAAACACAAAAACACAAAAATAAAGACAAAAATAAAAATAAAAACAATAAATAAATAAAGGGTAGCAAAAAGGAAAAACAAAAACAAGAGGAAAAAAAAAGCAAAACAAAAACAAAGAAAAACACATATAAAAGAAGCAACAAAGAGAGAGAAAAGAAAAAAAGAGAGAAAACCAAAGAGAGAGAGAGAGAGAGAAAAACAAACAAATAGAGAAACAAAGAAACAAAAAAACAGAGAAACAAAAAGACAGAGAGACAGATCCGTCGGACAATCAAGCTTAACATCGTCGGACACCGCGAGTTCCTGACGGAATTCAAGGCAGCCATTGGGCATCTACAAAGCAATGTTTCTGATATGACGCGCAGGTTCCATTGCACGCTTGTCCCCAGAAAATTGAAGATGTGAAGTCACCAAGGAACCTTACATATGCGTTGGAAAGGCCCGACTGTCTTCGGGAGAAAGGCAAAGGTCAAGGGCGCGTGCAAAACAAACAGCTCAAACCAAGTCGGGGAAACACAAGGCACACAGGACGAAAGGTGCACCGATTCAAACTGGTGAGCCGGCTAGCTTTTCTTGAATAAACTAATAACTAATGTTTTTAAAAAAATACCCATATCATTTAATAATGACAATAACTAAATGAATTATGCCTGACAATATCAAACACACAAGCGCAACACCCAACTTTCTCACACGTTGGGAGAATGGCCCTGATCCCGGCTGCAGGCTCGGTCTCTGATCACCACCTCGGTTTTCACTTCCACGTGTTGGATTCTGACCCGATCTTAGGTTGGTGTAAGGGGAACCACAAAGCAAAGCGGCTGTTTTTCGGGTTCCCCCTGTTTCGTCACACATATCCAAAAGGCCTTAGTGGTCCTCGTTTTCTGTCAAACTCGGCATCTTCTTGTATTAAACTTCAAGCGGCCCAAACATAACAGCAAACACAAACTATAATTTACACACGGCGGATATAACTCAATCTTCCTCTGCGCGCATGTGTCAACTGCCGCCCACACCACCAGTTTAGACGCCCGAAAGCGGACAAAGAACTCAGAAAAGCAGCCAACGCTCCCGCCTCCCCAGGAGGGAGGGCCGCGGACCCACGAAAGTTCCGAGAGCAAGGACATACTCAAGTAACGGGGGAGCTTTGTAACACCGCAAATTGGAACCAAGCAAGCGAGAAAGCCCATGGCTTACTGACCCAGCCGGCAAGGCCCATAGCAGGGATTGGCGCACGCAAGGTAGCCAAAGTACAGAAGGCTAGTAGAGGTGGTGCCTGATATGAGCAATCGGAGTACTGCCCCGCCCAACTGTAGCATCTGCACTGCATGCATCAGAACTGTCACCAGAGCGAAGCCATGCAGAAAGCCGAAGCGGTCACCTCAACGAAGAACAAGTTGCCATCCGGGATGAGGGAGGTAGCTGTGGCGCACTGTGCAGTCACACCGTTGAGCGTTGCAAACAAAGCAGCACACACCACCCTTACAATTGCCAACCAATCCGTGTAGGGCAGGGGCCTCCACATAGAAAGAGCGAACAGTACTGCAGCCATGGCAAGCTGCTTGGTGGAAAGTTTTGGGGGCACTACTCCCTGAGGCGAATAACCCAGACACCTCTAGGAACTGTTTCTTTTGGGAGAGACTTAGAGGAACCGCCAAGGATAATCCCGCTTGGAGGGAGTCCCCAGTTTTGCCACTTAGCCATCTACCATTGGCCCTCTCGACCAGTTGGACTCACGCTGTTGAGGGCACATCCGCAAAGGCGGAATGAAAGTTATCAATTGAAAAAGGTCTTCAACGGTACACACAACATCATGGACTATCATGATGCTTGGGTTGCTGACAACAAGCTGTGCAGCAACTGGCAAGGGAACACTCTCCAATTGAACCACTTGATGATGAGAGATTGTGGGGTGAGCGCTCCCAGTTGCTGACTGAGCATCTCAAGGCACATATCGAGGCCGGTCACAATTCTCATTGTTTGTTGATCGCTTGGTGTGCAGCTTCTGGAATATGACAATAGACCGTTTAGACTATTACAGAACATTAATAGAGAATTAACATTACAAATCCAACTGCATTATAGAACTGTCACATTACACTATTGCAATAGAACACTTTGCACAAAATGTATAAACAAATCCATGTCTCCAAGTCAAACCCACGAGGTCAACCTGAACATAGACACTGTCTTCAGTTTGTCCAAACTTTGAACAGATTCAAAGACCAAACACTTTGCATCATTGATTGTCTCAACATGTTTCCCAGTCTTTTACAGTCCAACAGCCAGCCAGCCACTAACCAACCAAGCAACAAAACGAACCAACACACAAAGAAAGCACACAAACAAAGCAAACGGAGAACCGTAAGCAAACGAAGAAGAAAAAAAAAGGCCGCTGGCCCCTTCCAAGGCACGGCGTACTCCAGTCCTGGGCTCAACTCCAGAGCCTCACGTCGAAAATCCGCTGTCCGCTTTTTGGTTTGGTTCACGCGGCGGGGGCCATGACTGAAGTCGATGCACCTGAAGACCCCATTCCAAGTGTCTACAGCCCCTGCTAAGGGCACTGCCTTGAAAAAGCAGATGGCACAAGTGTTCATGGCTTATCATCCTCTGGAGATAAAGTGAATGCCATGAAATTCACCCAGGGGAAATAAGTAGCACCTCTCATGTTTGAAAAACATATTCAAAGCCAAACGATATTAGCCACTTGAACTGCGATCAGTGGACATTGGTTCTCTGCGTTGCCCCTGCCATGGTCCAGCATTCCATAGGGTTTCGCTCATGTGAGCCATGTGAGCCATGTGTGCGGGGCTTGCTTCATAGGACTCCCCTTGCTAGTTGAGGAAAGTCTCCCCTTGCCAGACTCAGAGTCCCCTCAATCATGAACGACTTGGCCAAACATGTGCATGCTGAGCCCATGTAAAGGAGCCCCCTTTGCTGGGAACAGCACACTGCAAGGCCTCGTGCTCATGCGATCCGGACGAGTTTTCTGGCCATTGTGAGCTGCTTTGGTAGGTCCCCGTCCTAGACCCCGTGCCTCGGTCAGGGCTCCTTGATTCCCCCCTCCCACCCTGGCTACGCAAAGCAAAACCCAGACCTCCAGTGGAGGGGAGCAATAGGAAAAGGGCACCAATGAAGGTTTGAGAGAAGGGAGCCGAGTTTGTTTCCTTTAAGAATTAGCCTGAATGTGTCTTACTGCCTTTTTTTTGGGGTAACCGTATTCTAACACACACACACACACACACACACCTGGACCCAAACCTGCCAAACCTGCCTGATCGCAGTCGCCAATGGCATCGTCCAGGTTCCCCAGACACAGATGCGCCTGAAAACGGAGCTCTTCGGGAGATCTCCCCCGATATCAAACTCTTCTTTGGGGTCTGAAAGAGACACCGCAAGAGCGCGAGTTTTGATGTGTCACCCGCATGTTGAGGCACCCATCTGAGATTCCCACAAAAGAGACGAATTCTGGAGATGGCCCAGCTATCAGCTCAAAACCAAGATGAAACGTAGAACGGATGGAGCTGACCAGTTGTCGCTTGGCTGTATTTCAGGACGCATCCTTGTTGCCTGTGTGGTATCTTCTGCTTTTCGCGCGGGCTTCTGGGCCTGTTTTTGTCAGCTTGACCTTTTCGGAGCTGCGTGGTTTGCGTGCCCAGCGATCAAGGATGGACCGACCCACTTGCAACAAAACAGACCCAGACAGGAAAGGCGATCGCCTCTCTGGTTGGCGGTGCAACTCGCGTGGGCCTAAAAACTCCCAAAGCCAGGCAAAGGTACCATGCATTTCGCCAATGCGACGTTCTGTTGCTTCCTAAAGCAGCGAGGAGGATGCTTCGCATGTCCAAAGCTTGAGCTACGTCTCCAACTTGCAATCGTGAGGTCCTCCAATCCCAGAACCAGGATGTGAACAAACGAGAGACGCACTCGTTTGAACCCTGGATTGAATTGTGGGGGGGACACCTCTGAATGGTTCTGTCAAACCACCCTGAGCTTGCAGAACATAATAATGACTCTCCTATTCTTTGCGGAACCTGATGGAACTCTGGAGCCTCACCTCAGATGTTCAGTGACCCTGGAAAAAAAGGGAGCCCTTTTTGGGGAAGACCATTTTTAGTGGGGCAGCCCCGCCCCCTGCCCAAAAAGGGAAAACAGGGCGCCACTGAACAACTGAGTCACCAAACACTTCCGCTTCATGAAAATCTGTCAGGCCTCCGCCCTCACCGTCAGCGTGTAGGAGTCCTTCGGCTTCAGCTCCAAAGCCTCGCGTCAAGGACAGGAGTCGGATCTCTGGGATCTATGAGGCACCCCCCTAGGCAACAGCCTCTAAATTCTTTCTTCAAGAGCCGAACCCCCCTATCTTTGGCAACAGCCTCTGAATTTGCAGCAAGAAGCGAAGGGACCAAGTGAACCAACCTGACTCATTTCGTAAGCATTCGCAACCAAGCACACAAATCCAAGCAAATCAACCCACGCAATGCCTTCCCAGAAACTTGACTTTCTGGCCCTAGTGCCCCTCGAAATGGTCGAACACAGAACTATGGTCTCTGATGGAATCCCATTTGGAGCTGGCTGCTGTTGCAGTCCCGCGGCGCGCCTTTCCACACGCCTGTTCCATTCTCTTAACACTCCCTCCGCAGAAACTGCAGCCCCTTGCCAAAACTGCCTGGAGAGTTCACAGCTCTGTGAACCTGCAACCTTTCAAAGCCCTGAGCTTAAGCTTCGCCGGAGCTTCGCCCGGCCGAGAATCCGACTTTGGCTCAGACAGCGCTCCGCAAGCTGCCTGAAAACCACTCAACTTCTGAACATCTCCAATCTGATGCGGATCTAGGACTCAGCTTTCCAGGCCGCGCTTCACCTGGACAATTTCAGGTGCCAAGGAAGGTAACCCCCTGCCTACGAGCTTCTTGGTTCTGTACTTTTGTCCTGGGTTCCCTGATAAGGCCTATGAAGGGCCTTTGTCAGTGATCCTATGTCAAGCTGCTTGGGCCAAGACATCTTCGCATATGATTCATTGTCACTGCCGCTTGCTGTTGGTGTTTGTCTCTAAATGAGGGAGCCTCAAAATGGGCATCGGTTCCAAAAGGCCCATCCAAAAGCGTATCCACAAAAAATGCTCTCATTTGCGAGCTTTTACAAACCCTTGACGAGCGTGGAGTCCCTATGAGAACAACCAACCCGCTTCTGCCCATGGGAAATATATGTGCTGAAAAGGTCGTTAGACGTGTGATAGAGAAAGCTTAACATAAGCTAGACATTGTCATGTTCTTCTAGGATTATTGTTTGACATATAGGTAGGCACATGATGGAAACAAACTGGACGCAAAATCAAGCTAAGCCACACACATTCTGGATATGTGCTAGACACACACTGGGCACGTGATAGGACTAACAAGACCCAGGCTGGACGAATACTTCGAACTGCGCACGTACTAGCAATGCACATCGAAATGCTGGAAACTTTCTAAACTCTAAATGGATACGCTACACATGTGGACACTTCAGCTGGACATGCCTAGAGGCAAGACAACCTGTGAGGAAACGAAAGATGAGGTGTGCACTGGCCATGTGCTGTAGAAAATTGCGCCGTGCTCTCTGCTTTAGCGGATAGATCTGTAGGCCGCCAGGATTGCTCCCAAAACATTGCGAAAGAAACCATACGAAACCAACTGAAATCACTCTCCCCGTTTGGTCATCTTTTCGGAGCTCGGAGCAAGCCTAGTGGATCCAAGCCGCACCTCTTGCCCCCCCAAATACGTGAACATTCATGAATCATGAATCTATGATTTTCGAGGGTATGCTCCAATCTCGTTGCGGACGTATGTAACGGGGGCCCTTGCAACGCAGCGTGTAACGGGAAAACAGTGCGTGACGGGATAATGGATCACGCATGTATAGTTCCATGCTTTTCCCTCACTACCCTTCATCTACCCGTCTCAAAATCGCGGACCCCCCTCCCATTTTGGGGTGGTGTCCTGTCGCTTTCCCTTAAAACGTTAAAACGCAACAACTGCCTACCGCTTGTTGACGATGGCTGCAGGTGATATGTTCACTATGCCTTTCAAACCCACCCCAAAAACGGGGGGGGGGGGGGGATGCGAGGGGACGCTCCAAAGAAAACACCAAGCCGCCCATTTTGAGAACCTCAATCCGAGGCCTTGAGCCTGCAGCGGTCCAGCGCGGCCCAGCGCCTCAGCAGCCTGACTGGGAGAAAAGAAATCGAGGCAGGGGTCAAACTGCCCCTGCGCCCGAAAGAAGCATCGTATGAATCATATCAAACATCATAACACCCATCGTATCAAAGTCTGACATTGGTCCAAGAAGTGAAATGTACCTCGCCCAAGGGAATATAGGTCTGTTGGACGTGCTCACTGCGAGTAAATGAAGTCTTGGAATGAATTAGGGCGAGTCCGCATTGCTTCAGTGCAATTCCCTTCGAGGGGAGCCCCCTTGATCAGTATGGCCTAGATGCCTACCAAGTTGACATCAGGCGCAGCGACGAGCGTTCCGCATGCGGACTTGGGTGATTAATCCGAGGTTACCATGGCATGGCCAAGGCCGCCAATGGCTCACTAAGGCCATCGCTGGGGTGCCAGGCCTCAAATGGGTCGGAACTAACGCCAGGGATACTCCGAAGCTGTGAGCAAGGGTCCTTCTGGCCAGCTGACTCCAAGCGAGTCATGCAGGAATGAGTCCTCCCTTTCTCTCTGGCGCTTGGATCCTCCAGTTCTTGGTGCCGAATAGCATCAAACATTATCATGGCACCTCAGCTTGTTGCTTGGGTGCACATGGCCATCTTTAGCTCCTTTGCCCCGAGAGCCAACCAGCTTGCGCGAGGCTGCTGCGAAGACCCGATCGGCAGGGTCGAAACTTGGCCCCTAAAATCCCATGCAATTTCTAGCCTTGAGCCCTTGAGTGGTCATATAGGAAGGGTTCCGAGTAACTGTTACACCTTCACTCCAGGAAGGCCATGGGCCGAAAAGCAGTGCGCACCTGCGAACCGCACGTTCTGGGCGACTCAGCACTGGCTGCCGCGTCCTCCGGAAGGTGACACGGCTCGTTGGAAGGGCCCCTGCATCTCCCTTTCACACCCACCAATAGGCAACTCACTCTAAATTTGAAACCCCCATTGGTAATGTGTAAAACCACCAAGGGGCTGAGGGGGCGGCTTCGATTTGCAAGCTTGATTCAGTCGCAACAGCATGATTTCATTTGCTGAAAGAACCTTTCTCTTGCTTATGCTGCATTGTAAAGATACCTCTCACTCTCATGAGAAGGCAGCCATGAGTATTCGCCTGTTAGGCCTTTGCGCCTCAACAAGCTCTGATTTTGTATCTCAAGCTTAAGCTCTCCTTGCTTCACATCCCAGCAGAGATCGTTTTTACCCACTTTTAATGAAGGCTGGGTTTGTCAATCTTCGCGTAGCATGTCCTCCCGAAATGAAGCATCTGCCAGTCATAGTCTTGGCCCAGGCGTACACCAATACTTAAATTGGTGACTTTCAAGACTCAAGTCTCTGATTCATATTGAGTCTACCCTGTACCCTGAAGCACTGAAGTACAACATGGTCTCCTCTTGTCCCAACCTCTCCTCTTGGGCTGCCGGCAAAGCCGCCTGGCTTGTGCCTGCCGCTCCTGTCGGTTCGTTGGAGGAAGCTCACCAACCTAGCAAATATGGAGCAGTTCGCCCCGAAAGTTATCTTGACGATGCCCTAAAAGGGATGGTGACCCGTTCTGGCGAAAGGATGGCTTGAAGAGGAAAACAAATGGACACCAACCTTTTGAGGGTCTCCCATTTGAAGACACACCCAAATGAGTTCTCAAGTCCCTCAACATGGCAACTGTGTCCTTTGGTGTCCTTTCATTCACCAAAATCGGGGTCTGAATCCCGCCTGAAAGCACGCCCATCTACCCTCCCAAAGACAAACATGGAGCCCGCGCAGGTTTAAGGGGACCCCTCTTCCATGTTACATCAGTTGTCTGTTTGGGAGGATGCACGAAGGCCTACCCTCCCTCCAACAATCATGGCAGCCAGGAGTTTTGGAAGACAACTTTCCTTTTGGGGAAGCCCAAAACGTCCACTTCCATGATTGTTGGAAAGAGGTTAAACTCACTTTTCGAGTGGATGGCCCCCAAAAAAAGGTCCAAGCTTCTTATTTACCACTACCAGAAGTTTAAATAATTTAAATAACATGGGGTCAACATTACATGAAACGCAAACCCACACCTCCCTCCAGCTCCGCCCGCGTCCCGCGTCCCGGATCGTCCCGGATCGTCCCGCGTCTCCTTCTCCGCGCGCCGCGTCTGCCTGGCGCGGCGGGCCGCCGCCAGCTCCGCGCGGCGCCGCTCCGCCGAGTCGAAGATGGCCTGCGACACCCGGCGTCTCTCCCTCTCCCCTCGGTTGGGCTGCCTTCGCTTTTTTGGGGTTCCCCTCCTTCTGGGGGGTTTGGGCTGGCCCTGCTTTTTGCCTTGAAACCTCCTGTCTTTTGAGGCTTCCTTTTTGGCGCTCCCAGAATTGTGTTTGTTGTTGGGGTTCCCCTTACTTCTGGGGGGCAGGCCACACTTGGCCTTCATCCGTGATGGGCGCGACACCCATTCATAGGCTTCTCCCAGTCAACACAACCCGCCACCTGCGACTCAAACCATCCCCTAGCCTTTTGTCTCGGCCGCATGGCAAAGGGATAGCAAAAGAACACCTACAACCATCACTGGACGCTCACTTTTCAGTGGCCTTTCCCAGAAGGCCGTATTTAACAAAAAAGACATTGAAGGGAAGTAACGGGTACTGTGTTTTCTTTCTTGGGCCCTGTTCACTGCTACAACTGCAAGAGTTATAAGGCACAAACAAGGGAGCCGCAGCCCATTGGGGTGTGACCTGAAATTCGACAAGGATCTCGTTTCGGCTGTTGTGAAAAAGGGCAAGCCAACAGGGCATGCAACAAAAGACGTGGCCCCTATTTCTGACCTGCTGAGCTGAGTTGATTTATTAAAGGCCCGAACTTCCTAGGTCTTTACAACGTTTCCCACAAACCAGCAAAAAAACACTTGCCAACCTGTACTAAAAACCAACCCACCAACGAAAAGTTCGACGACTCCGCAGGAAGCTCCTTCAGAAACTGCCCGTTTTGGTTCAAGTCCTTATTTAGGACCGGCCTCACAGCGTCGCAGCTGGCGCGTGGAGCACTGCGCCCGCCGCAGGTCCTGCAAGTCAGAACGCCACCCTTTTTTCTGTTCCTTTTTTTTTTTGGGGGGGGGGGGGGTGGGGGGAGGTGTTTTTTTCCTCAACAGCTGGGGTCTCAGCCCAGATAGGCTCAGGGTTCCACCAGGGATCCACCCAGGGTTCCACCCAGGGTTTCACCAGCCACCAGGATTCCACCAGGCTCTGCAAGGGCTGCGGGGTGGTCTGGGGTGGTTTGAGGGTTCCACACCAGGGTTCCACCAGTTTTCCACCAATTTCTTCGAGGGTCCGCCAGGGTTCTACCAGGGTTCCAGGTAAGGTTCCACGAGGGTTCCACCAAAGTTCCAGCAATTTCTTCGAGGGGTGGGGTGTTCTGGTTTCACCAGATTTTCCCAGAATTCTGCCAGGGTTGCGGCGTGGTCCGGGGAAGGTTCCACGAGGGTTCCACCAGCGGTCCGGGCTGGTTTGAGGTAATGTTCCATGAGAATTGCACCAGAATTCCACCAGGTTTTGCAAGGTAAGGTTCCATTCCAGCACGGTTCTAGCAGGGTCCCACGAGGTTCTGCGAGGGCTGCAGGGTGGTCCGGGGTGGTTTGAGGTAAGGTTGTATGAGGGTTTCAGTTTCCACAAGATTCTGCGAGGGCTGTGGGCCCTGACGTTTCACAGGGTTCCACAAAGCTTTGCAAGGATTCCACACGGGTTCCACAAGGCTCCACAATGCTCCACCAAGGGTGTGTCGTGCGCCCGTCGTCTGAAAAGCCATCCGATCAAGATCGCTTTGCTCATGGGCGGAACACTAAGCAAAACCGAAATCAATGGTTTTTAGCACACTTTCACTGTTTTGTGACTTGCTCACTTGCTCAGGCAAATGTTGGCTTTGTGGCAAATCAGATCACGTCGCTGCGGGACTCACGGTGCAGCAGAGTAAATGCTTGGCATTGCTGCTTGGTGGGCTTTGGGTTCCAAGAATTCCACGAGGCTGCGAGGGCTATGAGGTCAGAAGGTTTCCACCAAATTCTGCAAAAGCTATGGGGCACCTGAGGAAAGGTTCCAACAAAGTTTCACGCTGAGCTCCACGAAAGTTGCATGAGAACGGTTTGCGAGGTTCACCGGGCCTAGGTCGGGGCCCGATTGCACTGTCGGGGCCCGATTGCACCGTTTGGGCCCGATCGGCCCCGATTGCGCCATCGCGCCCCGATCGGGGCCCAATTGTACCAAGCTGGCATCGCCTAGTTTTGCTACAGATACAGTTGCAATCCGCATGCTAAGGAAAACCGGCGTTGAGCTATAATATGGGTGGCTGGGGTTGCGCCACGGGACGATCGGGGCCCGATTGCACTGTCGGGCCCCGATTGCACCGTCGGGCCCCGATTGGGCCCCGATTGCACCGTCGGGCCCCGATCGGGCCCCGATTGCGCCGTCGGGCCCCGATCGGGCCCCGATTGCGCCGTCGGGCCCCGATCAGGGCGAGATTGCGCTGTCACTCGTAGCTTGCTTTACAAGGCGGCATCCTCAGCAACACCGGCAGTGAGGATGGTCCCGGGGCGTTCCGCGAGGATTCTGGGAGGGTGTGGTGCTGTCGGGGATATCGCCCGAGCGTTTTTTTTTTTTTTTTGGGGGGGGGCGGGGGAGGTGGTTGATTGAGGGTACCCATTTTGCGGCGGTTTCAAAAAGCCGAGAAAAAAACAAGTTCAAAGGTTGGAGGTTCTACCAGAAAACAAACCCTTTTTATGGAAAGGCCAAGGACTCTCATGTACCTCTGTAACCCCATGGCTCCCCATCCCCTTCACCAGACAAAGTGCACACAGCAAAGTCCAAAAGCACGGCAGTGCTGCAGATTGGGTCTGTCTCTGAGGGTTTCTTGTATGAGTCATCAGTATTCATTGCGCTCCCAGGGCAAGTTGGTGAGTGGGTGAGTGTGCCCAGCGCCACCCCTCTTGCTGGAGGATCATTAAGATTGACCGCTGCTCATGTATAGCCCGCATATAGGCTGCATCATGTGATTTCTGAGCAAAGTGGGGTACAATGGCACCCTAAATGTTCAAGCTATAAAACATAACCACTGTAAACATTCGCCCAAATGGCGACGCATTTTGAGGCAAGGACAATGAAGGTCAAGTCTCCTGGAGCGGCTTGTCACGCCCCGGTTTGGGACCAGCATCAGGTGTTCTCACAAATAACTGTGCATCCAAATCCATAAGACCGCAACCATGTAAAGCTACATAGACATTTCAGAAACCCAACTTTTTCCGGATCTGGCGAGAGGTCTGGTTCTCTCCCTATCCCCTGTAGCAAAGCAAGTTGTTCGTTGCAGCCCCGCACCAACATAATTGCAAAACCAAACAGGCCGAAGAACTCTTGCAACAAAAAGACCAGATAAAGGTGATCACATTTCGGGCCCTCGGCTAAGCATGATTATGGGAAACCGAGCTGTTGGCTTTGGGAAGGGTAGCCAGCGCTGTGCGTTCTGGGATCGGGAGCCCCCCAAGTACTATCCAAACAGCATGCTGTTTTACTTTGCAGGGTTGAGGAAAGAGAAAAAGAGTTTAACTCCCAAAATCATTCGGGCCCGGGCGACACCTGCAGGAAGACCTCGCGAAGCTTCTCCCCGTCTTGGCACCGGCGCCAGGACGCCAACCCTCTCTGCAGCGCCGCCTGCGCAGCGGAAGGAAGACCAGGTCGGAGACGGGTTGAGACCATGAAAGGAAAGGGTCACAGGGTTTTTCGTCTTGTTTTGAGGCTACTCCTTTTCTGCCGTCTTTTGAACGGAAACCGAAAGGTTAAAGGCCGCAACCATAGCTATGATTCGGGTTGCTTCTTGCAACGCTAATTCTAAACCATACCATGAGGGTTGAACATCCAAGTACTCCACCCAAAATGCGAATCATTTACTTTCAGTTGTTTTTCTTTTCGCGCAGAAGGGAAGTCTTCACAAGGGCCGAGATGCGTCTGAGACGTAGCAGATTTTATCAGCCCTCATTCTCTGCGAAGTAGAATAATTCGCCTGCCTGAAAGAAAGACACCTTGATCGTGGCTGGTTTTGTTGCACAATCCCTTTGCAAAGTTGAGATTAAATTTGCCCAGAGCCCATGGTCGCAAACCATGGGCTTCCCAGCGATTTTCCAATACTCATGACTACTTTAGCACTTTTTTACATCATGTCCTGAGTATCACATGAAGTTGCAACCTAAAAAGCGATTTTCCATCCACCGGAGACTTGTGATTCGGATGGCTGGGTGAGTCCTGACCAGAATGGGTGACCACTGCCGACGGCGACATTCCAGGTCTCATTTCTGTCCAACTGAATGGGTACAAACTCATGCAAATGGCATGCAGCTTGTTGTCAAAGCAGACTGTTCGAAACTGGCCTCACCATGAAACCCCTACATGGGCGAAACATGACAGTCCTGTGCACTGATCGAAACCAGACAAGATCAATCTAAACCATAGTTTTGACACATACCTATGGGCCCAGCTTCGAAATCATCCGCCCTATCTTGAGGCCCCAATTTCATTTATCCTTCAGAAAAGGGACCATGGGTTACCACGGAGATCTCCAGGGTTACTACCCTCCCACCAATCAACATTGAACCCAACAGGGGGGCGCCTTTAAAAGGAACATGGTCTTCCAGGACCCCCCTGTCAGGTTCCATGGCAATTGGTGGGAGGGCAGCTCCTCCCCCACTTACGCCCCCGCCTGGTCTGCTACCAGGTAAGGCCTCGAGGTCAACTGAGAGCGGCCCGCGCGGAAGCTCACGTGGAGCCGCAGACCTGCCGCCCGTTTAAGGAGGGGATTCCCGATTTTGTGGGCGGGTTCACCCAGGCAAAACACAGATTTGGGGTTCCACCACCCAGTTAAAGACAAATACAAATCCTAACTCTACCCTGGAATGTAGAGTTGGCCAATGTGACACCTGGCGTGCGAGGTACAACACATGGCCATGGGACCAATTCCTTACAAAGGCCAGGCAAAACTGGGTTGGTCCAACAGACCGCCTGCAAAATGTTGCACTTAAAAGTTTTTGCTAGTTGGTCGAACTGACTCCGCAGTTCTGCTCATATCAGTAGCTCATCTAGCTGAGCTTTTGACTTGTTGCTAGTGCGCGTTTGGAAACCTTCGCCATTTTGCAAACAAGTGGACATGTTGTTGCTCTGTATTTTCCTGTTTTTGCTCGGCCAAACTCAACACGCCTGCATCCGCCGCCGAAACTCCGCAGGCGTCCAAGGTGGCGTGCAATACCTGCGTCTCCATGGGCTCAGCAACTCCGAATTTGAATGTGGTAGGGGAGGCTCGCGTTCCAAGAAGGGTCACCAGGTTCGAATCATCCGAGTTGGCGATGTATTGGCAGCCCTTGGCCAAGGGTTACTTCACCCATGGTCAAATGCGTAGTCTCAGGAATAGGGCATGGTTCTTTACTGTCCTTCTTAGGCCATGGTTGAAGTGGTAGCGATTTGCTTCGGGCACGGAATTCAATCCGAGCCACAGCCGTGTGGGAGTTTCTCAAAGGATTTGGACCCCCTCTTGCTGAAAGGGGAACCAAAAACAACACAGTTGCTACGTGTGGGACCGATTCCTACTTGGTTGTGTCTCTTTTCTGGGACCCCCCAAAATGGTGGTGGTCTTCCATTTTGGTGTCCCCATAACACCACCGACCATGGGTATCCTTTTGGTTTCCCTGTATATCCACCAAACATTCCCTGGCACCGTGCCCTCAAAAAGGACCCGCCCATTTGGAGACGTCCCTCGCGTGTGACCTTCACGAAGGTCTCCTGAAACTCGTCCCGGGAGCAGACCTTCGAGTGCCGGGGGTGCCGGGGTGACTGGCCTGGAACTGACCCGGAATTCAAGGCGAAGCTTTGGACACCGCTGAACACGGGCACCCTGTCAGGGTCAAAAGCCCCATGACTTCCACAGACCTGGAGGTGAAGCTGATTTGGAAACCGCTGGCTACACGGACACCCTTCAGGTCAAAAGGCTGATCCGATTTCAGCGAGCGCATTCCCAGGTTGGGTCTTTGATCCGTTTCGTGAACCCCCCTTGTGACTCGGCCGAGCCGTTCGGCTGGGCAACAAAGTGGATATGTGTGATTCAACTCAACCTCGAAGTAGAAACCGCGACTTCCGAAACCGGGGTGCTTAATCCCTATTCACACCGAGATACTCGTGACACATGTTCTACGACCTCAAAAACACGGAAATCTGGCATATCATGTGAGGTGAAGAGCCCATGACCGTGTCCATGTCCGCAGCGCTAAATTCCAGAGTACTTGGGCTACTTGACATTGGTCGTCCAACACGATGTCTACAATCCCTGCTGGGCAACCACTGCAAGGATCTTGCGGATAACTGAACAGCCCACATGGTTTTGGCCAGTCCGTCCCGCTATTGAAACAGTAACAAATACCCTTCCATTGTTTGTTTATTCTTGTTTGCCAGTAGCATGTCAACCAACGACCAACGAACCAACGAACGAACGAACCGACATACCAACCAACCAGCCAACCAACCACCCAGCCAGCCAGCCAGCGAAGGGGTTCTAACCCGATCAAAATGAATCACTCAGCTGGGGCCAGGGGTTGCGCTAAACAAAAAGAAAGACGCCTGGTCCATGTGCTTCTTGAAGCGCATGAGGCATCGGTGGAAAGGCTCCACGCTCTCCCGGCTTCGCAGGGAGCCTGAGCTTTCGCAGGGATCAGCCCACATGGGTTTGGTCTCAAAGGGAACCCCACAAATTGTGGCTTTCCTTTTGGCTTCCCTTTGAATCAACCAAAAAGGGGTAGACTCGGAAAAACAGACCCACGTCAAGCAAGCATGATCTCGCCATGGGCGACTAACCCAGTTCCTCCAATCCACAGCCGTGTTTGCATCAAGCCCAGGTCCAAAATCTACAAAGTGCCATCCCTAGTCACAAAAGGGTCACAGGATCTTGGAGCCATGTTCTACCGCACCTCAATTGGTTTGGGGTGGTCTGGCTTGGTTGGGGGGCCTCCGCGTCCCTGAGCCAGGTGGACCGAGCGGCTTTCGACCTACTTCCTAGCCCAAGCCATCTGCACCCCCCGGCTTCCCAATGTAAGTTGCCCTACTGGCCTCATTGTTTTACCAGCAAGTCAGCCTTCCAAGAGGTAATGGGACAAAGGAGGGCAGTTGAGGAGTACAACCCCCGCATTCATCTTGCCTGTTCTTAGTGAGAACCCAAACAGCGGCCGTCGAGAATACCAAGTCATAGACCCTTCTTGGTCGATGTTCGATGCCTGAGCGCTTTGCGCAAACCTCTCAAAGCTTCTATTGGGCGTACCCCTCTGTACAAGGCTTAGCAAATACACTCTACGTGGTTGAAGCTTCCACATGGAATTCCTGGCCTATTGGTTCACTCTGGCTTCAGTGAGATCGGTGAAAGTCCACTTTCGCGGATATCGAAACTTGAGCAAATGCAGCTGCTCGAGCATCAGCATCCAAAAACAACTGCGAGGTCCCAAGGAAAACACAAATGCACATGAACATCTAACACATTGGCGTGACCTGTGCAACCAAAAAGGCATGTACATTTATTGATATAAACAAATATACCAGGGATGAAATTGTAAGCCAAAACCTAGATTGGTACTTGAACCAACAGAATAAACAACACACAACGCCCTGCCCCACTTTGCACCCAATGCCCCTTTCCTTTTCCAGGCTGCGTGACACCAATCGAAGGCTTCCTGAGAGCGGCTTGGCAGCGGCTATGTGCAAACAGCTGAAGCGAGATATTATTTGAGAAAACGAAAGAGGGGGCGCGCACATTTTGGTACTAGAAACAACTTACACTCACATCATATCACATCGTGCTCCTCAGTGAACTGCAAATTGGCTCTGAGGTAAACCACAAAACTAGAGGTGCCCAACAATGTCCGGCTTTGGATCCAGCAAAATCCTGGAAATGAAACATGTCCGCAAAACCTCCGCACCCGACCATTGCAACCACACCAATGTAATGCATGCCTTCTTGTAGTGACTGCAACCCTAAGCCACTGCTCCATTGGTTTGTATCACCAAATGCTGCCTTGAGACTGCGTAGCCCAAGTCAACATCTGCGCCTTTTTTTCCCTTGCCTCCACTTGACCCAACCTGCACGCTTGGACACCAAGTCTAACGCAACCATGAAGTTTTGCTCCTTCGAGAAGAGAAGCACAACCCCAAACGGTCGCTCCGCCTGGCGCGGCCCTCACCGATCCACCTGATCCAAATGCCGAGGTGCCGATAGCCACTTGGGCGCGGAAGTAGCAGCCGTTGCCTTGGTCAATGTTCATCCCGGATATTGCAACATCCTCTCACTTTCAGTGCAACATACTCCCAACCCATAAACCTCTGAGAATCTTTTGGCGTTTCCAGTCGCGCGGTTTCCCAGTCATCCCAGTTGCGCTGGGCGTTCACCACCAGCCCCGGCACCGCAGCTCGCGTCCGCGTCCTGCGCTTTTGCTGCGAAAGCGGCTCAGGCTTCGCAGGCGAAGTCGCAGGAGTTGCACCTCCGGGGTGGAGAAATCCCGCCGGATGCACCAAAGACGTTTATTCTGAACCCATTGCCATGTTGGGCACAGAAGCGGTTGGTTTCCCATGAGGCAGCAACAAATGTTTGATTCACATTGCAGGTTTGCAAGTTCCACCGGCCAATCGATGTTTTTACTCATGGTACACAGTCGGTGGCGTTGGTTGCTGTGCAAGATCGGCAAGTGCACGCTGGTGGCCTTCAACCTGCTCTGAGCCTTACATTGAAACTGCACTCTCATCGCGTGATTTGGGCACACAAGGATACAACAATCCCCAGTGTAGGACACGTGCGCGGTCAAGCAATAAACGGCGGTGCCTTACAGCGTCTCATGCATACAAGCCAGGAGCACGTTGAAATCAAGAATAGGTTGCGTCAAGGCAACAAACCAAAGCAGTTTGCAACGGTTCTTGAGGCCTCTTTGTTTTAGACCAGAATCATGAACAAGTATGAACAAGTGACGCCGAGCCGCCTACCTCTCGCACCTCTGCAGGTGTTTGCAATCCTTGAAGACTAATTACACCAATAGCAAATGAGCAGCCTGTGTACGGATATCCAAGCTGAGGTACCAATCAAACATCATACATGTATCATTGTATTTATATATATATATACATATATGTAGGCTTTAATATGCACACACACACACCTTTGGAAGATAATAGGGTCAATCGCCAACTAAGGACAAAGGATCGGCCAGAAAGAAAGTTCCCCTACTGCCAATAGCAATGCCAAAGAGTGATGTGGGAAATATAGGAACCCTGTTCCCACCGAAGCGTCAATGACCATCCCACGAGATGTTTGACCAGGATTGGTTGCCCCTGCCACCTGTTGAATATGGTGAAGATCCACTTGAACAACTTCCGTTTGGTGTGCCTTGCCTTAGGGGCCCGAAGCGTCTCTCAAAAGAAGGCCGGGTTGTTAAATGGGAGTTCCCATGGGACTTGGACCCCAAAATGCTTCCTGTGGCTTCTCAGGGCTGATTACCCGCCTCTGACGACCACCACTTGGGGGGCAGCAGTACCCACTTCAGGGCCACGTGATTGAGCCCCTGGAGCCCTTTGCCCGTCCTGGGCCTTTAGTGGGGTTGGCTATCTTTAGCGGGGAAACCCACGCAAAACGGGATTTCGAGGGTGGCATCCTCTGAGCAACTGAGGGGGTTAAAAAGCAAATCCTGGGCAAATTCCTAGAATGCAAAGACCAACACATGAGGAATGAGCTATAATTTTAGTACACATATGAGCCCTAGCCTAATGAATTCCACTGGATCAATTCACTGGAGCCCCGAGGAATCCATCAAATGAGCTCGCGCCTTTGACTCCGCAGGGCCCAGGCGACACAGCGACCTGAGATGTGTGTGGGTGTGATTCTCCCCAATGTGCGGAACACCACCTACCCTTTCCTTTCGAACCAGCCTCGTCCATGTGACACGGTCGGCTGACTGCATACCCCAAAAGGGTTTTAAAGAAAAGGCAGACCCAGTTGTTGCCCGAAGCGGAAATTGGAAACTTGGTCTGGGTCCCTGCATGTCTACCAAAAGACTACCAGTCAGCCAGTCAGCTGTTCCTATGATAAATGGAGATATACTTCACCTGGTTTGAAGCTAAGAGTATAACAGAGACATGACGTATGCATACACCTGGCTCAAAGCAAAAGGTTTTTCGCATCCCAACTTGGAGTTTCGACAACCAGCCACCACTAACCTTGTCTTGCTTGAAACATCCGCTGAAATGAATCATAGACTACATAGTTCTAACCTAACCTCAGTATGAGGTCCAGTTAAAACTCCGGTTAAGGTTGATGCCGCCGAGGTGTGGGTTGAGATTCCCCAATAAACCTTGACTGCTGAGATTTCTTACACACTTATGAGTTTAATCACTTCCCCCAAACAATACATATAATGGGGAGAACATATTTTACATTTAGGCATTGATGAATTCGAGCTGAAGCCCATCCTGCCTTCTGGGCATCGGGTGTCTGCATATAGCTCGCCTCGGGCAGCGTAACTGGGCCCTATGTACATGACACACACAAACCATTTAGCGCTTTTCCTTTGCTCTTCTAAACCACCAAAAAAGGGGTATCTTCCGAAAAGCACCCCCATTCCGAGTTGTTCAAACATAGGTGGCCCCCCCAAGGCCAGTGCACGACTCTCCTCTTGAAGGGTAGGAGAACCTCCCGAAAGGTCCAAAGAACCCGCATGCCGCATGCTAGAATTTGTGCATCCCCCGACCTTACGGGGGGGTGGGAGTCCCAAATCCATTTATCTAGACTGTGCTCCGTGAAAGGGAAACTGACACCATGAATGGGAATTGCGGGAGTCACCCCCGCCTCCCCCAATTGGGGTGGGGATATGTTTGTGCAAATCTTGGATAGCAATCAAAAAGCGAAAAGGATGCATCAGGCAAACTTGCATGTCCAGGTGATGTCTGAAGCAAGCCAATCAAAACATCTTCCAAACGATAGCGGATATGGTTGGGCTTGAGGCATGGGATAGTGCATGGGATCTCGAACCTGGCTGGTTTTTCTTCATCACCGCAGCTTCTTGACCTGCAAAATAGACCGAGTACTAACAGGACCAAAACTCAACGGATTCAAAATTTTAGTAACTTCCAACTCTCCAGTAAGATAGCAAGCTGACTGCTCTTTGCACCCCCCATTCATCAACAACAGAATCCTAAAGTCAAAACAAAATACTTGAACACACACACATGCCCTGCCAGCAAACTTTCAGGGTCCTGTGCACTCGCTTCATCGTTGCGAGGGCTACAAAGAACAACGAATAAGAGGTCCATCTCTAAAATACTCTGCCTCTCGAAACGATCTATTGCCCCTACCAAACGGGCCGGGCAGCGAGAGCCAGCCGTTGCTGCTCGCTGAAGAGCTCGCGCAGGCACCGCTCTCGCTGGACCTCGCCATTACGTCTGAGGTGCTCCCTATTGCAATTCGCGGCCACTCAATTGTCCCATACCTGGCTAGCTGAGACTCAAAAGAAAAACTGCTTGGCAAAGAAACTCTTGATTCTCAGCCAAACATATACTATTACACAAACAAACCGTTTTTTAAGTGTTTATTATCATGATTTTGTACAAACCACACATTGTGATATTAGACACTTGCAGTGCTCGGGCACCATCGGGGCCCATGCGCGTGCCCCGCGCCTTGGCCATGGCCCGGAGCAACGCCACCAGACCCCGTAGGATCTCCTGCCGAGTTTTTCCCGTTTTTGGTGCACTAAGAAACCCAGCGGAAAATGATTCGATGCAACCCAAAACTTCCATTTGGTTAAGATCCCTGGACCAAAAAAAAACAGTAGTGATAGGTTCCCTTTAAAACAGGGGAATATTCTTAAGCAAATGGAAGAAAACCAATAAGGATTCAACCCAAACGGGTACCAACAAAAGGTCCCGGAAACTCGACCATGGGTTTCTGAAAGGTGGTGCGAAATGGATTTTGCAACCGTCCCGAAAATCAAAGCCAGAAGAGTTGGTGCCTCTTTTCTGGAAACCTCACCACTGGGTGTTCGGGCCTTCTTGGCTTTCGTCTCAGACGGGCTTTGCAAAACTACGTCCAGAAGTGGGCGCTATCTCTGTAAGCACAGGCCCCTCACCCCCCCCCCCCCCCAACGATGCAATGTGTCGCAACACAGGACCCACCACGAGGCCTGTCCCGAATATCGAGCTACACCTGTGAGCCACTGCCAATTTGCTTTCGGTGTCCCCTACCTTGTGGTCACGAAACATTTCCCAGTGGTCTTTGACTTCTTTCCCTGTTGCCCATTCCCCTCTAATTACTCAGCTTTGGCTGTCAGCTGACATCCTCATATTCTTGTCCGCATTTAGTGAACCCTAAAACTAAAGTCATTGAATGTTAACCATTGCTCACGTGAGCCCCACCGCACGCCTGCAGGCGCGCCGCCGGCGTGGGTCTCTTGCCTGAGGCTCTTCGAGCTTGCCTTTACCCCGCACTTGTCCCACGTGCTGGCGTCCTCAAATAGGAAGCCCGCTGGTTGCCCTTTTGCTGGCGGCTGCCTTTTGGTCTCCATGTCAGAAAACCATAAGCAGGTACAATGAAGTACACACATATATATATATATATATATGTACGAGCCAGGGTCAGAACATGCGTGGGAACATGTGTGAGACCTCTGGTTGTGGTTGCATTTCAGTGAGTCCCCAGGGCTGACATTGACAAACATTTACTTGGACTGAACCTCATGGAATCCAGAGGGTGCAAACGACACCTGGGCTTTCTTCCGATGTCCGATCTTTTTCTGTGATTTGATCGGGTACATGATGCAAGCCGCAACCCTAGAAACCGCTTGGGTATGAATTTCACTTAGGGACCCTGTGGATCATCATAGCCACCTGTTCCCGCTAACCCCTTACTTGTCTCGGCCCAAATACCCGTCTGTCGCAGATCCGGGCCACTTGTTCAGTGAGTAATAAAACCCAATGTGCGACGAGGAATCGCAAGAGCGTGCAGCAGCTCACATGCATTCACATTTGGGAAGGTCCCATGTAGGGTATTCCCATGTAAATCAATCAGTTCTGAGGACTCCCGTTTGACATGTTGGGCTCAGAGGCTTTGAATGCCGACGAAGCTGCCAGTGAGGCTGCCTTCCGTCATGGACACCAGCATCACCCTAATAAGGGTAATAATAACCTGGGCGATCGGTTCGCTTCATGAGGCTCCAGCGGGGAAGGCATGTCGAGCGGGTCTCCCCCATGTGACTTGTGACCTGGTGAGTACGAGTGGTCCCCAATGTCAGCCCCTCTTCGCTCGATCTCACCAATGAGGCATGCCTTGGCCGCGGTGGAAAAGGCGCAGCACAGACTAAGGCGGCCGCGGTAAGCGTAATAAACCCAGGGTGGCAAGGTATCCGTAACCCGGGCGATTCATCGAGGCCTCCTGGGCAGGATCAGTCTACCTTGTTTTTGCATTCCGGTTTTAAAACAGAAGCACCAGCAAAAGTTCAAAGCACTTGTAACATCCAGTGAAGAGACCTGAAGCAAGGGGAAGCTGCGGCATTGCCTTCTCTCTGGCAGCGACGGACGTATCTTTCAACTTCGGACTGTCTTGACCAGACTCAGAGGATGCTTTTGTTCAGTCGCCAGCAACCCTGGCAGAACAGGGGGCCACTTTTTGGGTTGACCATCTAAGGGGCAAACCAAGCAAAAAGGGATGAGGGTGCCATGCATTCGAAATCCATTCGAAAGAGCCGTGTCCTGGAACGAAGTCATGGCAGCAATGTAGACCTGGCGAGAGAAAGGCGGGTAAATCCCCTTGCACATGTGCCAGCATAACAAACACCACCTATATAAGTGGACGCTTTCAGGATGAGCGGATTGGCACGAAACATGACTCGTCGTTTCCCACTCCGCCGCTGTCAACCATGAGTTTTGACAGCCCCCGAATGAAGAAACACTCTGGAAGCGAGTTCAGCTTGGGACTTGGGAAGTGAGAGAACGCAGCCAATTGAATCGCTTTCCCTCTACGGCCATCTGTGCAACGCATGACACAAATCGCCCAATGCTCTGCATTTCAATTCAACTGGGATTCATGCCTGGGATCTGCCAAGCGACATGTTGAACGGAAAGCACTGACTACCTATCTCACCAAGCTCTATCCAGAGACAACTGGGATCTTCTTTGTGGGTTGGCTCGTTTTAGCGCAGGGTGACCTCGCCGTTCTTGGTGCAAACGCTCGGCCCTTTTGCACATGGCTACAATTGAAGTCTTGGCTGGTAGTTTGGAGGTAACGATGTGGTTTCCCCTTTGGTGTATTCAAGCACCAGGGTTGAAGAGGATAGCAACAAATCACCCATCTGAGTGAACACCAACAACGATAACCACAATCCAGCAACTCGCAAAGAGGCATCCCTATGACAGTAACTTGGTTGACGTTGGAAGAGGAGCAAACGTTTGAATTTTAGCAGTTAAGTGGGGATGTCCCACTAAACCACAACAAGCAAGAATGCAAAATGTTTCCCAACAACAACCATGATAACTTCATCATGAGGTCGCAAACGAAACCCAGTAGGTCGCCGCTCGCCTGTCGGTCTGTTGGTCTGTCGACCGGATGACTACCGCATTGAGCCAAACCGCAGTGGACGTTCCCCGCTATTTTGCGGGTAGCCTTTAAGGCTGGTTCAAAGGGGAAAAGTAAGCCACCAGTCTAAGATATCTATTTTTACAACGTCACATACCCACATAGACGTGTTGTTTGGTTTAACGGTAAACCAAGCAAGATTATCCCAGTATGTTTAGGGATTCATGCATCCTCAATTGTTGCGGAGTTTGGTCCACCCATAGTATCCCATACGTCACGTGTTGGTAGCACAGATGGGGTTTGTCGAACTTTCTGAGTCCACCTACTAGCTGGTGCGCGATTCCGTCCATGCACCGCAGCGTCACTCCGCCAAACTCAATTTGAGACCCTGATGCGAGGGAGTCTCCCGTGCAGCCGAGTCTAGGAACCGACCAGGACATTGGACAAAGAAGCAAAAGGCCATCCAGAGATCCCGTTTGCCACCCATGGGCATCGCTACTCACCTGAAAAACCATCCTGCTTCGATTTGTCAAGTTGCTGTCAGGACTCCTGGGATTTGGTTGAGACGAAGCTTTCCGTGGGTTCTCATATTTGCTGGACATGGTTGACAACGTGTGTCATGCCCCAACCAATCATGGTTGAGGTTCCCTTTTCAATGTCATCCTTTGCCAAAAATGATAACCAAGAAACCACCACCAAAACACATACGATTAAGAGTACAGACTGCAAGCCTGAAGCTACCAGCCTAAACCTTTTGGGGGGTGCCATTCTTGGCTTCTACAAGGGCCTCCCTCAAAAAAGCCAAGCTCCCTGTGTCTCGATGAACCACCCGACAAACGGCACCCAGCTCCAAAAACACCACAATGGGTGTTTTTCCAAGTTTTATTTGGGAACTTGGACATCATCTCAGTGACTTCATGTCCATTTTGTGGGGATCCCGTGTTGTCAGACCCGGTCCCCAGCCGGGCCGTAGGGCCCCGGGGCCCCGGGCTGCAGTGCAGTCCTCCAGCGCAGCGAAGTACTCGCAGCTGAGGAGCTTTGCCTCAGTGGCAATCAGCTGAGGGCAGCTTTTGGATGTTTTTCTGCCGAGGGAACAGTAGACATGCTTGCGGGAAGGAAGACGAAAAGGACACCTTTGGCATTTTGGGCGTTGTCCACAGAAATGAGACAAACCTTGAACACCTTGCATGAGTGAGCAGTTCCCGGTAGAATTCGAAGTGTGGAAGATCATATACCCCTTCCACAAGTGGTACAAGCAGTCTCCAACCACAGTCGCAATGAAACCAAACACAGTCTGAAGCCGAAAGGAAGCTTCGGACCACTGAGGCACAACAAATGGGAAACACACAGAACTTCAATGTGAATAAAAACAAAAAAAACACTCGCCGTTCAACGGCGGCCTGTTGTCACGCATTTCAACCCGGCCAAACGAGGCGTCACACCTGGGGGTCGGTTCTTCCCTCGGTTCTTCGCGAGGCCGACGTCCGGGTCCCGCGCCTCGCCGCGAATGGCCAGGGCCAGCGGACTGCTGGAGATCTGCAGCGCCTGAGTTGGCTCCGAAGGCCCAGGGTTAAGACGCCAGTACTGAGACGCGCTTGTACGTATCTGCGTGGTGAAGAGCTAGTCTCGAAGGCTCAAGGCTCAAAGGAACCAAACGCAAGGCTTATGTTCCTTCCCACCAATTAACATGGAACCCGGCAGGGGGATGTTTCCACTTGGGTCTTTGGTGTGGTTTTCTGGCTGAAAGAGGTCAACACAATTTTGAGACCAACCTATAATCCTTTGAGCTATCACACCAGCTTCGGGCAAATGAAGGCTAGGGTCCTCTTTACCAGGCTCTAATCGTGACTCACGTGTACGCACTGGTGAGTGAGGTAAGCTCAACACTGTTGTGGAATGGGCCGAGCCAAGCTTATGTGCCATGTTCATTTTGGAGGTGCAAGCAAGACTTTGAGCGCCACCATGAACATTTAAACCGGGACTCCTTCTCCCAGCAGTCGGCTTGGAGCCATTCACCAGAGACCAGGAGACCATCGCCACTGGGGTTCACCACTCATATCGCCAAGGGCCTCGTTTGGAGGCCTTCAAGAGCCGATTTTGGAGGATGTGTCGTGGGCCTGAAGCTGGCCCGCGCGCCTGGTTGCAGTCCCTCACCGCCTGCGACAAAAGAGCGTGGTGCAGGTCTATGCAGAAGTGTGTGTGTGTGTACATGTATATTTTGTACATATCTATATATATATATATAGCTGCAATAATTTCTTCTGTCGACCAAAAGAAGCGGATGTTATAGAGAAAGATGCAGGTTAACTCCTTTCCGACAAAATATCTGGAAAGGAAACATCACTTGCGGGCTATGCCATTCACAGGTATCTCAGTGGAACCCAAAAACGGGAGGCTAACCTCTGAACACACAGAGTAAAACCTTTAGGTGAGTCAAAAATGGTCAAACAGGTAGGCCGAATTCTTGTCATGCCATGGCTTGACAGTGAACATATTTCTGAAATTAAACGAGCAAAGCACGAAAGACTGACACCCGGGACGACCATTTGCCACCTCGAACTCCAAAAGGGACCCTCCAAAAGCAGGCGACTTCAAATGGGTACGTTTCAGGATCTGTGTTGGCTTCCAAAGCAGTATTTCTCCCTTTCTCTTGAATCTTCCAAACGTGTGCTCAAGCCAATTGCTGCGCTTGTCAGGGTTCAATTCGACCATCACCAACCCGACAAATCAGAGAGTCATACCGGACCTGTTCAACACAACGGCTCCAACCCTCCTGGAAGCCTCCACAGGGCATAGGATACCCCTCTCATTTCGAGCAAAACTGGTGTGGTTTCATGCGCTTAGAAAAGGACTAACAAAAGATTTTCTTTCGGTGTTGCGAGAAGGCTCAACTCTTTTGGGCGGATGGCGAATCCAAGGGCGTCCAAGACCTGCGATGAAGCCCGAAGAACAGGATCTCTGCTGTGGCTCTCGAGTTTGCTAGGCTACGCCCCTTCGGATCTCGCTCCTCGTCGTAGCGCCGCAAGGCAACCTTGAAAACAGGGCTCGACTGGTCCTCAAAACCTGGGCTGACACTTGGGCTAGATCAACCCCAAACCAACCCTAAACCACCCAATCTAAAACCAACCCTAAACAAACCCGGAAACAACCATAGGACCACAGGAAGCGGGAGTGGGGCATCCAACCCTAAAAACCACAAACCAGCCCTAAACCAACCCTGGAACCAACCCTGGAACCAACCCTGGAACCAACCCTGCACTAAAACCCAAGACCACAAGGGGGGGGGGAGGGGTTATGTGCATGACTGGGGGGGGAGGGGGGTTAGGGACGCTGGACCATATATATAGGGCATGTGTCTACATCAGGGTTCCTCATATGTCCCTTAGTGAAACATCAGTACCACAAGGAAGCTTACTTTCACCCAAAAGGGGAAACATGTGGACCACCCCACCACTAACATGGAGCCTGATAGGGCGTGCTCAAAGACCATCTTCTTCTAAAAGGGGCCCTGTGGTGAGTTCCTTCTGTTAGATGTTGGCAGGGCTATATGTGTATATATACGTACAAGTTACATATATATATATATATATGTATATATATATATAAATTATACACGTATGTATATGTATATATATATATATGTATATATATATATATATACACGCATCTCTTGTAAAACAAAGAAGGAACCCCAGCTTAAAAAAAACAAGTCTACTACACACAAGGATCCCCCCCCCAAAAAAAAGAAGAAGAGGAAAACACGGCAACATGCATAGAACATACATATGTAGGACGTGCACACACACACACACACCAGCGTGAAACTAGATGGTTCAATTCCTTCTATATCAGTAACGGGGATGACCAAACCAAAGAATGTGGCAGTTCCATCCACTTCCCCCTGCAGCAAGCCCCCCCCTCCCCGCTTTTCCATGGTTGGTTTCCCTTTGAAACCCCAAGGGCAGCGAGGCAAACCGACGAGCCCACGGTCTGGGTGCGCCGGGCCAGCGCATCGGCTCGGGAGGCCAGGGCAGCTGCATGGACCTGAGCCGGAATCGCCAGAGAAAGCTGGGGGCACTTGGGCTCTTTCCACATGGGTATGAGTCAAAATTAGACCACCAGACGGCAGCTTTCAGTCTGTGTCTCCACATATCATTCCCATGATTCAATCTTGGAAGATCGAATCATCTCATTCCCGTGGCTGACGCGAAGAGCTTCTCTCTCGGCCCCTCTGGTCGGAGATGGCGCCATCTGAGAAAAGTGTGACGTGTTTGAGGCCAGGTTGATCCAAGCTTATTTGAATCCAAATGCAAAACACGATGAATCAGACTGACCAATTGCTCTGTTGTTGATCCATTTGTCTGATCAAACTGAATTAGATACCCTGAGGATATGATCCATAGTGTTGTGTTGATTACCCAAGAGATATTCAGATTGACTCAAACCAAAGAATCTGATAAAAGTTGTTTGGTGTACCCCAGAGTTGGGCAATATGTAGTCTGCGGTTCACTTGGGCAGGACATGTGACGACTACTCAAAGGGCCAGATTAACATGGAATCCAAAAAACGTTTCAGGAGGAATTTACTTTTGGGATCGGACCTGTTTCTGGGTTCCTTCCACCCAAAGAAGTGTATTTCTTGCCGAGGGAAACCAAGCAAGAAAGGGTTTTCTCCAAAGGCCAGTTGAGTTTGGAAATGTTGAAGGTGAGAAAACGTTTTCTTGGCTCCTGGCCATTTCGGATGAAAGACGTAAGAAGGCGGGTTGACCTGCTGGAAGGGCTTCCCTGAACCAAGCATATATGTGAGATTTTGAATACGGGACCCTTTGGTGGACATCTGGGTGCAGATTCATGCCCAACCACTTTTGAGGTGGGCCGGGATGGGCACCTGGTTCGGTGCCTGCTCAGGCCTGGTGGGTTCCGTGGTGCATCGCAGGAGCTCGAGACTGCGTAACCCTATGACGACCTTGACTGACATGACCCGTGATGACCGCAAAAATGTCATCAGCGATCGAGCAGTTCTTCACCACCACCACCACCACCACCACCACCACCACCATCATCATCATCATCATCGACTGTCAGGCAAGAAACGCAGCGAAAGGCGGGGTTTTGCAGGTGTTCCCTGCACAATTTCCAGCGCTAGCCCGCTGCACCAGCTTCACTGTGGCCCTTGTCAGGCAGCCACCCATGACCACCTCTTGGAATGGCGAAGTCTGAACATGTGGATGAGCGAAATCCATTTCGCACAAAAGAAAACCCTGGAATGATTTGATTTTTCTGTACCGATCCAAGATTCGGTCCATCCGCAGTATGTCATAAACAAGGGGCGCCTTTATGCAAGATTGCAACGCAAATCTCATTAACTTGCCAACCACCCCTAACCTTGCCTGTGTTCAAACTAGATGGCCAAATCCGTTTCCACAATCCCTGGGTATCCAAGGGAAGGATCTTGAGGTTTGCCTTTGAACAGCCCAAGCAACCGGACCCTCCGAATGCTGTCCGGCCACTTCCCGCGGCGCCACCATCTCAATAGCCTGTGCGGTCTTTGCTGGGTGGATGACCCACTTTGGACTTACCCACTTTAGATCTAAGACAGCGCTAAATGGATATGATCCACTTGCAGTTGTAAGTCCTTGGGGGTTAGTAACCACTTAGCAAAGTCCCTGTGAAGTGGTTTCATTTGGCTTGTCATCCTTGGCTCGCCAAGTCCATGGACGTTGGAAAAGCGGCGTTGCAACTCAGGGCGAAGGACTTTGATTTATACTCTTCCAAATTTAGGGGTCACTGGATTTCCACTTCAAGAGTTGCAATTTGCTGGCGGTGTCCATTGCAGGTCTGGAGGTTCCAAAGAGGGAAATGGAGGAAACCCGGAGATACATTCGACGCATTGGTTTTGCATGAACTTCGACGCGAAGCCAAGCGGGCTTAAGAAACAATGCATTGCTTCACGACTGGTTTGAACTTTGAATATTCAGATGTGAAGAATCAACGAAGCAAAGGAAGCACGCTTTGAACATTTGGGGGTGTGTTTTGGTGGGGAACCCCCGCCAAAGCGGTTGCTTTGAAGGCAAGCCGAGAGGAACTCGCCAATTTTAAAGGTTCCCCCTGACACTCCATTTAGCAATAAATTTTGACGAGGAATACAGCCCCAAATGGTCAGTGGACTTAAATCTGACGCCCGAAAAAGTTTCCCCAAATCAAATTCACAATTTCCATATTTGTGTAAAACCCCAAAAACGGTGGTTTTCCTGCTGATTTCCCTTTAAGCGAACCTAAAAAGAGTGCCCGCACTTAAAAACAACACGGTCGTGGGAGCTTTCGGGGACGCGTCACGTCGCCGTTTCCATCGCCTTTGTGAGATCCGTCATGGCAGCGCAGGCGTCCCGTTGCTCCAGCAGCGCCTGAAGTCGTTGGCTCCAGCGCAGCCGGGGAACCAAAAGACTTTTGGGTTCCTTGGTTCCAACCCAAAGTTTGGGGGTTTAGGGTTGCTTCCCAGTTTGGGGCCTGCTTGGTCTGCTTTGAGGGAGACTTTTGGGGCTTGTGTTTTTGTTTGAGGGCATGGAAATTACTTTTAGGTCTGTTTTGAGGGGAAGCCAAAGGAACACCGAAGCCACTTTGGGGGGTCCGCTATAAAAAGGGCGGTTTCCCTTTAGAACATCACCCAGGGAGACTCGCCTCGAAACAGGCCCAAACAGTGGAAGTAAAGGGAGCTTCCCTCATGGTTTGGAGCCTGTGGTTGGGAGGTCCGGGTCAGTGTGCCGGCAAGAACTGGGGATTCAAGTCCCCAAAACACTCCACACCGACTACAGTAAGAGTTCCCTAAGACTTTGTGGGAGAACGATTTTTGGGGAGCTCATTGGAAACACTCAGATAGACAGGGTCCATTGGGGCCCATTCAAGGCTGGATGAAAACCGTTGGGTCTTTATCCTAGGCATGTCAACTGGGATCTCCGCAACTCACCGGGGACAGTACAATTCCCGCCAAACATTGCAGAAGTTCAGCTGGGAAATAGTTAAATGGCAACATGCGTCGCTGCAATCTTTGATGCTTCGCAAAAGGAACATTCCTTTGGACCCCTGCCATATGCGAACGTTACCAGGGAAAGTCTGGTTCATCCGCAAGGGCTTGGGGGCTGATATGTGCGGCCAGCGTCGTGCCAATTGACCGCAAACTAACTGTTGAACAACCTTAGGGGCAAAAAGTGTTTTCAAACCTTCCTCACGACCAATGCAAGGGCTGATATTTTCCCGGCAAAACCACACATATTTCATGTGCATATCTAGTGGCGTGTTTCAAGCAGCTCCTGGTGTTCGGCATTATGCGGTCGCAATCAACATGGTGCATGCAAAAGCAGCTGCTCTGACCCTTTCGCAAGCCACAAGTTTTGGCAGTCCTCGAACCACCCTTTAGATCTTTCCGAAAAGCTGGCTGGGCACGCTTGCTGTGGTTTCCAATGACCTGCTGATTTGAGTAACCCTTTCCACCTCCAAAAGGTGACACCGTGATCACTTGAGGCACCATCCCCACAGAACGCCAATCGCTCGAATTTAAGCTGAGGATCGGTGGAATCGCTCGAACCCCGTCTATGTCCCCCTTTTGTGGCTTGAACACAAGATGTTGAAGAGGCAAGAAAGGGGAGCCCTGACAAAGGCAAACTTTCCAATCACGTTGGGAGCTGGGCCTGGCCCCGCAGCACCAGGGCTTCTGCAAAGCTGGGGCTTTCCCGCAAGGCCTAGGACAAAATCCGCGCGGATGTCCCAGTGTTTATGACAATAGGGTAGAGGGTGTTCATCAACAAATTATACCCAAGGGTCAGCACATCTTGCAGCATCATTCATCCCAACTGCAGATGTTTGTCCAGGAAGTGGTAGGGAACAGTGACCCCCCGGTCCCTTGGCAGGTGAGAAAAAACTCTTGTTTGTTGCAGCGCCATGATCAGAAGAGCCCAACAACAAAACCACCTCCCCTCCTATTGCAAAGAGCGCCAGGAAAAAGGATTGGCAGCGCTAAGAAAAAATGTGCGTCCTGTAGCTCTCCCCCACGGGAACAAAACACAGACCAAAACATGTCCCCTTAAACTTGGGCTGAACTGGCTATGTGTCAAAATAGGGGGATCGTCTCCCTTTTAACCAGGTGAAGAGGGTACCCTGAATAGCGCACACGCGCCACCTCAGGTGAAATGGGTATGGTATTGCTTTTCAGGCTTCGCTTTCACGCCTTGTGCATCCTGTAGCCTTTTCTTGTGACCTACAGACTTTTCTCGTGTCCAAAGACAACTCTCCCCCGCAAAGATGAGAACTTCCCAAGCCAAAAAAGGGCAAATCCATCCCCCCCCCCTCCCCCAAATTTTGCCCCCATGTCCCCACCCTATCTTCCCCCCCCTCCCCCCCCCGACAAAGAAACAAGCAGCGAGCCCAGACCGTCTGCCACCGGCCCCTCGCACGGTCTCCCGCCCCGTAACTCGGAGACCCGCCTCGTCGGCGTCCCGGATGGCCTCCCTGAGGCTCCCCATCTTGCGGCTCGCGTTGCCTCGCGCGGGTGTTTTGCGTGGCGAGACGGAGCGCCACTCACACGCCATGGAAAATCCGCCCGAGTCGCGAAATGGGTTCCGCCAAAATTGACCCAAACTGCCCAGGGAGTGGCTGAAGCCTTCTTGGGGCATGGCCGAAACTTCAGGGAAGTAAAGAAGCACACGCCTTTCCCTAAAGGTGCCATGTCCCTTACTGGAGGTATCATCCAGGGAATATGATTGAAGCTCGTACCCTGGGAATGCGTTTCTCCTGAAAAGCTCAAGGGACTGTGGGCAGACTTTTGTCAAAGCTTAGGGAAGTTGCCTCCATCATTTGAGCCATTTGAGTCGTCAACCCCGTTGGAGTTCATGAAAGTGCCTTTTCGATACATTTCGATTCATTCAAGGTTTCCTTTTAATCGGCCAGCGACAATTTAACCCTTTGCAAAGGTTCTTAGACTATGGATAAGGTGGCACCCGTGCGACCCAGTGATTCCCGGGGGCCATGGCGAAGAAGCTTTGACCGAAGTTGCAACTCACCGCTCAAACCAACCCCCCGCAAAAAGCAAACTGTAGTCCACATTTTAGCCCTTAGAGGTTGGAAACACACACTTCAAAGTCCAAGCCAAACAAGTAAGCAATATGAAAATGAAGGCCGTGCTTTTCAAACCAAAGGAACAAACTTGTTCGAAGAACCTTTTGGAGAGGACGACTCTCCGACGGCGCCTCGAACCGCAAAGACCGCCGCGGATCGGTGGCCCTGTGCCAGGGCCCAATCGCAGTCGAGGACCGCCTCGCGGACGCCGGAAAACACAGCAGGAACGCCTCCGAAGAGGAAAGGCAGGAATCCTGAGTGGAGTGGTCCACGATCCAGACTTTTTGAAAAAAAAAGCAAAACACTTAGAGTCCACAGACCGGGGAGGTGCCAGAACAGCAAAGGATAAACCTAGGAATTCATGAGCCGCTATGAGCCCCGGGTTGATTCGCGAGTTTCGGGAGACCAGCCAAAAGGCCTTAACACGGTCATAGGTTCACAATGTTTGACATATTGGGTCTTAGACAATCGGGGCCATGGAAGAATCAAGAAATAGTACCCTGTGTGCTAGGACAAAGAACTGACTGCAAGGTCGCGGTCATGATTCCCGGGATACTAACCCCGAAAAACCAGGCGTTGTGATCACGGCACGAACTGGCGTAGGCACAAGCATGGGAAACCTTTGCAATGATTCCCCTTCATGCAGGCTTTTATCCTGGCTACACGCAAATTGAGATGCCACCAGGCTTGCCTTTGCCGGTGAACCTCGCGTGCGATTGTTGGCCGGTACCTTCATGAAGATGACTCTGCTGCAAGCTTTGCTGTGCCCCCGCCGCGATGGATTTTATGGGTCCCCGTTCCAAACAGCCTAGGCTGGTTCTGCAGGTCGTGTATCCAAACGGGGCACCCCCAAAATCGGGTACGGGTTCTCCTTTGGCTTCCTTTGAAACAACTCCGACATGAAGCTTGCCCCAAGACACTGGCACACACACACACACATAATATGTATATATATATATATATATGTATAATCCATATATGGGCAAATGACGATCTTGCCAGGTAACGTTGCCAATTTCAGGTTGCGAACTGACTCCAAGTGCGCTACGATTTTTTGACCACATGAGATGCTTGCTCCCGAGGTTGAACAAGTCGGCTTGCGGACGAGAGCGATGACTGGTGGGCAGAACGGTGCAATACCTTGGCCTGAGCCACAGGGTGTTTGCAAGAACACGGCTTCCATAGAACGCCTGTTGCATAAACCGGCTTTGGATTCTCAGGGTGCGACTTTTGATCCAACGCTGGACGAGCTCAGCGGCTTGGCTCTCAGTCTCTGTCCCTCAGTCCAATCTCAACCGCATAACCGCATGTGCCCAATGCGCCACGCAAGGCATTTGCTTCATCCTGTCAAGCTGTCTGGATTGATTTGCGACACAAAAATGGGTCGCGCCTCATCTCTTTGGTGAGCAGTCTATTGCGAACGACGATTGGGCGCCCAGCGACATGCAGATTTGTCTCAAAATAGGGGACCCCCCCCCCAAAAAAAAGAGAGTTGGTTTCCTTGTGGTTTCCTTTTAAAATCAACCCTGAAAAACCTGCCTCCTCCAGCTGGCCGAGATGCAAACGAGCCTGCCCGGAGCAGGGGGTGGGGTTAAACTTGGGAGCCCAACGCCATGCGCACAGGGAAAACATGGGTATGGGTCAACATTTGTCACAAGGGGACCGCAGGTTTTCGCCCATGTTTCCATTTACCAGGGCAACCCATTTGGATAGCTCTTTGTGACCCACAGCCATATATTGGCTGGGACAAACGGGCTAAAATCGTCGAAATTCTAATATCCCTTGAAGTGCCTACAGGCAAGCCCTAGCGGCCCGCAGCGGCTGAAGGGCAATGCTTGTGGCTATTCTTCGCAGCCCCTCGGTTGGCAGGCTGCAATTCGCTTGCCCGAAACCAGTGTCCTCTGCGTTTCGGCGAAAGAGTCGCCCGCCACGACTCAACTTCACGAGTGAGACCATGTACCTGTCTGCCCTTCGAAGAGGGTGGTTTTAAGCAGGAAAACCCTGGACTGAAATGACTGAAATGACTGAAATAGCTGAAATAACTGAAGAAGTGCCTTCATCAACGGTGAGATTGTTTACCCTAATCCCTGATCACCCTTGTGGGCAGAATGCATAGGTTCTTTGCCCGCCCCTGCGAAAAATGTGGAGCTCAACAAGACACCAACAGACTCAACCAGTGCCGAGAACGGTGAAGGATCACAGGTCGTAGGCAATCTGTGCTGACTCAATCTGGTTGAGTCAGAGTGGACTGCGGGGTTGACCCCTCAAAAAAGTTCAATCTTCTGCAAAAAGTGGGTCTTTGACCCTAGCCAAGAGTTTACCAAGGAATACTCTGGCTGACTGAGTTCAAAGGAACCGGCGCCAACCCTGCCCGCTTCAACATGCGGAGCCGTGGCAAGCGCCGGTAGCGACTTGCCGGAACCATGGCCTTGCGGCCTCGGCTAATCACTCAGACTTTATCAGAAGCAACATCAGAGAGGTGCTTGGATCCTACTGTGAATGGACGAAACCCTGCACCACCGAAGAAACCCTGGAATGGTTCGATTCCGCTGCAAATACCACAAAACAACAGTTGCTTTTGGGGGTTTCTTAGGTTTCCACATAGTTTCTTGCAACCTAGCAAATACTAGCAAATACTAGCAAACCATGGTTTCAACCATGGTTTCCTCGCTGCGACGCGCATTTCTCCCAGCTCCCAGCTTCCCGCCTCTGCTCGGAGCGCAAAGGCAGCTGGCTGGGGCTCAAGCTCCAGGACTCGGTTGCACTCCTGGACGTCTTGGGAGGGGGTTGCTCGAGTTAAGCCAAGTGGATCAACCCGAAGGGGAGTTCTTGGATGTTCAAACTACTTAGTCAGAAGACTAGAATCATGGGTATAAATATGACGGCCGGTGGACCATGCTGAAATCACCCTACTTACTTGATGTGGGCCGAACGTTCATGCTCCAAGAACCCTTCTCTGCCCCCCTTGTTGATGACGACCTCACCCCAAAACCAGCAGTTTATACAAGGGGGGTCATATCACTTGCAACCAAACGACCTTCAAATACAAAGGTTGAAGCCCCAAAAACGGAATCTTCGTCGCAGAACTCCACTGACAATGAACAGCACTGAACAAACCCACAGCGATGTATCGCTGGTCACCTTTCGGCGCCTTTTGCCACGGGAATCCTTTTCAGAGTTCATGCTGGCTTTTATCATTTCCTGAGGCATCGGACCGAGTTCACGAAGTGGGCCGACGCGTTTACGCCGGAGTCCTCCACGCAGTCCGCGAGGTAGCCAAGCCTCAAGCTCACCTGGCTGACTTGAGTCAAAGACATTATGGGCAGAAGGATGGTGATGCGTATGGCCTGAATTCAACAGGAGACCCTTGCGTGGACATAATTGGGTGGGGGTTTATGCCCACTAGAGCGGAGTTTGCCTGGGGTCTGTGAAGATGATCATCGTTATTTGGGAACAAACCATGTTCTGAAGGTGCATTTTGACAACTCATGACCCCGGGAGGTTTCTTTGGGGATTGGGGGGGGGGGGGAAATACATAAAACGGCACTTCTAACATCAAACCCAAATAATCAAACAGCATAAACACAAATCTGCAAAATTCACAGAAAACAAGATAAGAACCACCAAGCAACTCATAAACCAGAACAACCCACAACAAAATATTTAATCACAGCATACAACATTAAATAATTCAAACAAGCATACCAACAAAACAGCAAAACTAAAAGCCATCAAAGAACACAAACTCAAACACACACACTAACAAATTTCAAAGCAGCATAACAATAAAAAATATATCAGAAGAGTATCAAACAAAATAAATACAAACAGCCAAAGAACGAAAAATCAAAAGAGCATGCCAAGTTCAAACAACGCACTTTGAAAGAGATAACCAAATTGAGAAAAATTAAAATCTTTCAATATTTACAAACCATAAGTATAGCATGATTATAACATATAAGATTTTACATGTTATTATTATAGCATGATTATAATTTCAGTTCAGGATAATAATTTAATTGATTCATCTTACTTCTTTCATACATCACTTTAAAATAATATTAATATCTCTCACTGTATTTTGAACATTAAACTGTTTACTTTCAATAAATAATTTGATATTTTCTTTAACATCTTCTCCTTCCTTTTGACGATAACCCAACATCCATAATATATCATCAATCATTTCATATTTTTTCTTACTGATTTTAAGAAACTGTTTAACATGATCGTAAGGTGGTATTTGATTTACAGTTAGAAATATTAAAATATCATCTTCTACATTTCTATTATGTATTCTTTTTATTCCCAACACACATCTGATTAAAGTTTGATTATCTCTCCAATTTATACAATTCTCACATTCGTCTTCTTCATCCATTGAATAGTTAATAATATTATTCACTATTTCATTCGGTAAATGCAATTTATACAATTCCACATTTTCCTTTTTGAAGTGACAACAATCATAGCATTGCTTATTGATATAATTATTGAATTCATCACCGTTCATTTTCCTCTAATTATATTAAGGCACTATTTCTTTAAGTCATTTTTAAGGCATTAAGAAAAGTAAGAAGCAAACCATAAGTATAGTATAACTATAACATATAATATTTTACATGTTACTATTATAGTATGATTAAAAAATCAGTTCAGGATAATAATTTAATTGATACATCTTACTTCTTTCATACATCATTTTAAAATAATATTAATATCTCTCACTGAGTTTTTAACATTAAACTTTTTACTTTCAATAAATAATTTGATATTTTCTTTGACATCTTCTCCTTCCTTTTGACGATAAACCAACATCCGTAATATGCGGTCTATCATTTCATACTTTTTCTCACTGATTTTCAGAAATGCTCTAACATAACTATAAGGTGGTATTTCATACACAGTTAGAAATATTAAGATGTCATCTTCTTCATTTCTTTCATTAAACATTTTAATATCTAAATGATTTTCAATTATTTGTTGATGAAACCTCCAATTCCTACAAATTTTACATAAATCTGCTGTACCCAAAGCATAATAAGTAATATTATTTATTATTCCATTAGGTAAATTCAATGTATACAATTCCATATATATATATTTTGAAGTGACAACAATAATAGCATTTCTTATTGATATAATTATTGATTTCATCACCATTCATTTTTCTCTTATTATATTAAGGCACTATTTCTTTAAGTCAGTTTTAAGGCATTAAGAAAATTAAGAACCACCCCATAAGTATAGTATAATTATGACATATAAGACTTTACATGTTATAAGTATATGTCAATTAAGAATTAAGGATTAAGATAATAGTCAGGCAATATGTCTTCAAATATGTAATCTGTATATTTACCTATACCATCTTTATCTATATATTTGATATTGTCTTTTCCTATTATTGAATAAATATATTCCCAGAAAAACAAATTAACTAATAGACATACTTTACATTTAGTGTTGCGGTAATACCATATACTAGATTCAGTTATTCTAAATTATTTCAAGATCTCGTTTATTTTATCTTTACTTAATAAATACCAATCAATCGCTTCAAACATGTCCCGATTTTTTTTAGCAAATGATTTATAAGGTTTAATGCTTAGTTCTCCTCCAAACCTTTTAATCAAATCTTCATTATTAAAGAACTCATCAATTTCTTTTTCAAATCACTTTCTTGCAATTTTGTGGTAAAAAAACATACAGGAGATCGTTTTTGATATGTCATAAAGAATTTCAATTGTAGTTGATTCTTATGTTCTACCACAAAAAGCTGTTAAATCTCTCTTGTTATACAGCATTGATTGCAATATACATTATATTCACTTATTTTATTACACAGATAAGCAGGTAATAAGTAATACAATATTAGATTAATATCATTATTTTTATTATTGCAACATTCACACTTACTATAATTAAACAGTGTCAGTTTCCTCTTAATATACTAAGGTATTATTTCTTTAAGTAGATTTTAAGTAGAACTTTAAGTAGACAAAAACAATTATGGCATTAATTCTTTAAGTGTATATTCCCTAAAAAGTCACTTAAAGAAATAAACACATTAAATTCATATAGTATAGTATTGTGAAACATGTTATAGATTATCTGTTGAATAATGATAAAGCGGACTTCCAAAAAGAGGAAACAAGGAATTAAAATCAATAATTATAGATGGTAGAAAAATTAGATACAACAAAGAAACAACTATCTCGAATGTTTTGAACAAGAAATTAAAATCAGTAGCAAACACCAATGAATATAATAGTCATGCTACAAGAACAATTCGTTCAACATACCTTAAACAAAGAATGAAAAATGCCATGACAAAATACGCTATTAAAAACAAATTCAGAATAACAGACCATCAATCAGCATTCAAAAGTTATGCTAATTCTATAAAACTAGTAAATAAACATTTTCAAGGCGAAAAGGCATTATCAATGATACACTACCAAAAAGATAGACTTTTGAACTTCTTGAAAACTAATAGAGCTATGAAATTGAATAAAGGGCAGAAGGTTTATTGCATCATTATTATGATGATGATGATGATGATAAAGGAGTAATAAGACATGCAGAGATAGTTTATAATTTACCAGCTACAAGGTCTAACGCTTATAATGAAACCGATTTGGATGAAGCAATTGAAAAATCAATCAAAGATATTTTATTGAACATAGAAAAACTAGAAGGTTCAGCATCTAATTTAAAATTTAATACAAATATTGTCAATAACCATTCATTATGATAATTATGACCCTACTAGGGCTGGTAGTTATATAGATTTACCAGAATGGATTAAACTAAAAAAGGCATGTATTAATATCAAAAACAAAGATAACAAATGTTTTAAATATAGTGTTCAACGTGTAGTGTATGATATAATTAGTTTCATTACAACAAATTAAACGATTACATTTTGAACTGGGAAGGTGTTAAATTTCCAACTGGTAATAAAGATGTTGAAAGGTTTGAAGAAAATACAAGTAAGTTAGTTTCAATCAATGTTTATGAAATTGATGATACTTTGAATGACAAAAAATATAATTGATTACAGGACTAAAACAAGAGATGCTAAACATCAAATATACCTTTTCAAAATTGAAACAGAAAATAACCATCACTATGGTGTTATTAAAAATCTAAGTCGTCTAATGAACTGGCAAACAAACAAAAATGACCAACCAAAACATTATTGTCATTATTGTACTCATGCTTTTACTAGAAAGGATTTATTAAACAAACATTATGAAACTGGTTGTATGGCAACACACGGACAACAGTTTAAATTACCAAAAGAAGGTAGTTGTATTGAATTTGAAACATACAATACAAAATTAAAATGTCCATTTGTTGTTTATGGAGATTTTGAGTGTATAACTGTAAATTCAAATAATGGCATCAAGGGCACGTATCAGGAACATAAACCATGCGGTTATATGTTGAATGTTGTAAATTCTATTGATAATACAAGCCAACCTTATTTATACCGTGGAGAGGATTGTTTAGACCACTTTGTAAATAAATTAAGAGAAATTAAAAAAGATATTTTTGATAAAATGAATAAACCAATGGATATTACAGATGAACAAGAAGCAGAATTTAGAAAAGCTACTGTATGTTCAATATGTAATAAGAAATTTAAACCAGATGATGTCAAGGTTCGCGACCACTGTCATTTTACTGGTGTGTATAGAGGTTGTGCTCACGAAAAATGTAATTTGGATTATTCATTTAGATATTTCAAGATACCAGTATTTTTTCATAATTTAAAAAACTATGACTCTCACTAAATAATAGGTAAAGCAAATGAAATAAATAAGGAAGTGAACGAAAATAAGAGAATAGATGTAATAGCGCAAAATAGCGAAAAGTTTATTACATTTTCATTTGGTTCATTACAGTTTAAAGATAGCATGGCTTTTCTCTCAGCATCTTTAGATAAATTAGTTAAATAAATATGACATAGTAGGTAAAGATGAGCATGATATTATATATTAATCATGCTGACGAGAAGTCATAGAAATGTAGAATTTAAAAGGGCGCCACAAGTAGAACGTCATTATGATGTTTCAGATTTATGGGGAGTTGCTTCAAGAAGGAATTATTTTAAACAGTTGAAGGACACACTGGAAGCGAGACAATCACAGGGAGCATTAATAAAGTATAGACATGATTTAGCTGAAAGCAACAGAACCGAAAGTTACAGCAAGGAATTAGACAGAATAAGCCACATATTAGACAACACACGCTCACCAGACGGAATACAAACAAAGGAACAACT